AGAATAATATGTCCTTTATTTTTCTAAATAAGTTAACTTTGATATTCAGGAGATAAAAAATAATATGTTTCTAATGTACAAAGAGAAATAGTCTGTGGATATAATGTGCAAACCAAAACTAAGAACGTATTGTCTCATAAAGGATTGCTACAGTGTAGAAGCCTATGCTAAATTTAATTTAACCGAAAGACAAAGATCCCTCTGCGCTCAGCTACGTTCAGGAACATTGCCTTTAGCTGTAGAGACCGGCAGGTTTAATGCCATGCCAGAGGAAGACCCAGTTTGTTTGTTGTGTGAGTTAGGAGAAACTGAAAACGACTTTTTGTTTTACTGCCCGATGTACGCTGACATCAGGGATGTTCTTTTTAAAAGAATGTCTTCAATTTATGTTGATTTCTTTTGGCTATGATGATAAAAACATGAGTTGTGTTTTAAAAAGGAATCTTTGTTATAGCAGATTTTGTTTTTAAAGCCTGCGGAAAAAATACAGAACACGTTTTTTAGACAACTGTGACAGGAGCTGTAACTTTGTAATGTTATGATTTGTAAATGTAAACCACTGCAACTGAATTCTTTGGTGTCTTATAAGCCCATGAGGTTGGCACTTTTATGCATGACACCAAACAAATCATATACTGTTCATCCTAACTAAATTTAGTATTTTTTGTTTTGCAGGATGTTTTATCCTTTTTACTTTCTTAGTCAATTAAGATTTATTTTTGGAACAACTTTCTGGAAAATCACTACCCCATAGAAGTAGATCACGAGAGTAATGAACCTGATAAAAAAAAGTTTTAATGTAACTTTCCTTATTTTGATTATTAAAAAATGTCCCAACTGCTGTCTTAAACCAACAGGTAAGAATCATTGATCAGGAGATGCAGGGCATAGGTGGACAGAAGCTGGACATGCCCAGTCTGTGCTCAGCTGATCTCTGGAAAACCAGTGAGCGCTGGGATCTGATGGGAAAGGAGCTGCTCCGTCTGAAAGATCGCCATGGAGCCGACTACTGCCTGGCCCCGACACACGAGGAGGCAGTGACCACTCTGGTGGCCCACCAGACGACTCTCTCCTACCGACAGCTCCCTCTACTTCTCTACCAGGTAGCCTTTACTCTTATGCAACTACTTGACTCGTTATAAGATGCAGTTATTATATTTTGATTTCTTGTTTTAAAAAAAAAACAAAAAACAGATCACTCGGAAGTTCAGGGACGAACCGAAGCCGAAGTTCGGTCTGCTCCGAGGGCGCGAGTTTTACATGAAGGACATGTACTCGTTCGACTCGAGTGAGGAAGCAGCTTTTGAGACTTATGAATCTGTGTGCGCGGCGTATGCCAGGCTCTTCACCCGGCTGGGTCTGCGGTGTGTTCAGGTGCAGGCGGACACGGGTAACATCGGGGGTAAGCTCTCCCACGAGTTCCAGCTGCCGGCGGACATCGGAGAGGACAGGCTGCTGGTCTGTGGGAGCTGCTCCTTCTCTGCTAATGTGGAGACCCTGGCTTCAGACAGAACGGAGTGCCCGCAGTGCAAAACTGGCACACTGGTGGAGTCAAAGGGGATCGAGGTCGGCCATACCTTTTACCTAGGTAAAAAGTACTCTGATGTTTTCAACGCCACCTTTAGCAATGCACAGAACAAGCCTTGTGTCGCAGAGATGGGATGCTATGGTCTTGGGGTGACCCGTATTCTAGCGGCCGCCATTGAGGTGATGTCAACAGAAGACGCGATCCGTTGGCCAGGCCTCATCGCCCCGTACCAGGTGTGTGTTTTACCCCCCAAAAAAGGCAGTAAGGTCAACGAGGCTTCGATCTTAGCAGAGGAACTAGTCCACACTTTGGGAGAGACTCTGCCTCGTTTGAGAGGTGAAGTAGTCCTCGACGACCGCACACAGATGACCATCGGGAAGAGGCTGAAGGATGCCAGCAGACTAGGCTACCCGTATGTTGTTGTGGTGGGACAGGCAGCTGTGGAGGAAACCTCCAGGTATGAGGTGATCTGTCAGCAGACAGGTGAGACGATGTTTCTCAGTAAAGATGGACTGTTAGATCTCCTGGGACGAGTGGAAACTGTGTGATTAAAAACTGTGGATGGGGTATTAAATGTTTTTGCATTCTTTGTAAAAGGAAAAATGTAAAATATTCAATAAGTGAGGGGGAGGGGCAGGAAGAATAAGGCCTTTTATGTGAAGTTTTTTTTACTTTTAAGTTTTGTCTTACGCCCCCCAAAGATAGAAGCCATGATGTATTGATTAGATCACTTTTCTTTACCATGTTTTTATAAACCATAAAGTCAAATTTTCCCTTTTTTTTATGTTCCTGTGATAATAAAGAAACATGATCTCACACCAGTGAACAGAAACGTCTGACTATGTTCATATTCTTTTGTTTGTTTTTATGTCCTTTTGTTTATTTGCGATTATTAAACACTAGTTCCATCTTTGTAAAACTTAATGTTTGTTCACATAACATTAAATCCTGTAGATACAGCCATGATACACTTTACATTTATACAATGACAGCAGTAATCAGGTTCTCTATACAAATAAAAGTAATAATACCACAAAATAAATTATTATTACTTTCATGTCAAGTAAAAAAATAAACACAGTTCAGCCTTTTACAGGAAAAGTGTATTTATTCAAATGAAAGCAATTCCATTATACTAAAATACAATCAGGTTCATTAATTTAGGAATATGCATCTTATGTTCTTAATAATTTATATAACTGTAAAATATGAAGAAGTGCTTATAGAATATATAATATGAAAATAATAAATAAATAATAATAATTAATTAATAAAATAAATAAATAATAATAATTGATAATAATAATTAATTATTATAATAATAATTATTAATACAATAATTAATCAAAATAATATAAAAACAATGTATTACAAGTAAATGTCCAATAAAAAATGTCAATTTTATGGAAAATGTATATTAATTCAGATGTACGTCCTATCATTTAGTTTTATTTTACCTTTATAATAAAGGAAATAAATGATCTCCCGTCTTAACTCATTCATTAATTTAGTGTTCTCTCCAACACTGCTAGATAATAAAGGTGGTGTAATAAACATTACATCTATTGCAAGGTTATTGTAGCTAAGCAAAAAATATAATAGATCTTAATACATGGGTGATTTTAGATGTCAATTATTTGATTATAAATGTTGTATCCTCTGTCTGTTCGTTACAGCCGGGGGCGGAACTATTGTATCAGCGCTGTGTTTCAGCACGGATCTTTTATGACGTAGAACCGCTCATGCACATGTGTAAACGTAAACAAGGAGCTGGGCATTTTCTAGGAAGTGTAAATCTATAATATCTTCAGTGTTGTGTTACCGTCCAGTCATAGGTTAATAATATTTTGTATTTATTAAAAAAGGAGCTTGTGTGTAAATATTAAAGAATAAAAATGGCGTCATCAGAGGTTCAACACGACAGCGACGACGGCATGGAGGAGCTGATGGACAAATTCAAGAGTCAGAGGTATAAAAATGCTTTCAGCGAGAAGAACTGGGAAGACGTGAGACCCTTTTTGTTTATCTACCTGAGACAATAATCACGTGTGTCTCTGTGAAAGTGAGCTAACAGGTTGACCTGACTGAAACTTCAGGGGCTTTTTCTGACCTGTGTTTGTTTGTTCATCCAGGAGTTTAATAAAGTTCCCATGTTCATGAAAACTGCCCCTGAAGAGATTGACCCTCAACAATACCCTGAACTAGCCTGTCTTCAGGCCATCATCCACGATGAAGACAGACCCCCAGCTGGTAGGTGGACAACAGCTTTTAGTATCAGAAATTATTATTATTATTATTATTATTATTATTATTATTATAATTATTATTATTACTATTAATATTAATATTATTATTGTAATTATTATTATTAATATAACTATTATTATTATTATTATTATTATTGTTATTATTGTTATAATTATAATTATTATTATTACTATTAATATTATTATTATTATTGTAATTATTATTATTAATATAACTATTAATATTATTCTTATTATTATTGTTATAATAATAATAATAATAATAATTATTATTATTAATATAACTATTAATATTATTATAATTATTATTAATATTATTATTATTATTTGACCCCTTTGATCAACAATGTAACATTATCGTATGAGGTAACAGCTCTATATGTGCACAGAGGTGTCAAAAGTATTGACATTCATTACTCAGGTAGAAGTATAGATACTAGGGTTTAAAAAGACTTCTGTAGAAGTTGAAGTATCAACTCAAGCTTTTTACTCAAAGTGTAAAAGTACTGGTTTCAAAACTACTTCAAGTATAAAAGTAAAAGGAATGTAAGGGGGAAAAATGTCATTAAGGACAAAAGCTTAAAAGCTAAAGTCCCCGAAAGGCCACAGGGGTCTATAGTGCTCTACCCCACCTCCCCAAAGAAACATTTTTCTAAAGGCCGTAATGACTTTAATGTTATATTAAAATGTTAATGTTGAAAAGTTTGGAATGATATATGTTTATACTTCTCATCCAACCACAATCAAATTCACTCTATCCGGATGGCGCGATTTATCTGGATAGGTTTTTGTTTTGTTTTTTGGGGGGTTTTTTGAACGATGACAAGCCAAAATGAAATAGGAGTAACGAGGTGATTTTTAAAATGTAAGGAGTAGAAGTAAGAAGTCGGCTGAAAAATAATTACTCCAGTAAAGTATAGATACACAAAATTTCTACTTAAGGTAACCAAGTATTTGTACTTCGTTACTTGACACCTCTGTATGTGATAACAAATTGTGATTGATTAAATCTATTTATCCCTCATTCCTCTGCAGAGCAAGCAGAGAGCATGAAAGATGAGGGAAACGAGTTTTTCAAGGAGAAGAACTACGCAAAGGCGATCGTGTCCTACACGGCGGGTTTGAAGAAGAAAAGCGGCGATCAGGAGCTCGACGCAGTTCTCCTCACCAACCGGGCAGCAGCACACTTCTACCTGGGTGAGGAGGTCACAGACATTACACTACTGCTTTTCACATCATAACATTAAATATGTTTGAATTAAATGGCTTGGAAATAATAAAATCACAGAGTTTATTATTATTTATCTCTCCATTTAAAAGCCTCCACATGTGTTGTTCACGTTTCTCCCGTCGTCTTTCAGGTAACATGCGATCTGCATTCAATGATGCTACAGCTGCGAAGAAGATCAAACCAGATCATCTTAAAGCTTTGATCAGAGGTATGAAAACAAACAGCCTGTATTTCTATGGAAGCTTTCTCATACAGGCAATTTCAATTGATTTGGAGCATTAAGAAAAACGTGTTTGGCAAATAACAAAACAAAGACTCATGAGTATGAGAAAACATTTGGGTCATTTAAAATGTACACTTAAATCCAAAAACTTTAAATGTAAATAAGTAAAAAATCAGTATTTATATTGCACATTTAAAACATGCCCCAGACACATGAATATAACAGACAGTTAACAAACAATAATGAAGACTTTACAGTAAACGTAATCAGAAAACAATGAGTGTTTGTAGCATCTTGAAGCCTGCAACAGAACTCGTCCTATAAATGACAAAGATAGTTTTCATGTGTTCAATACCAAATTATCAGAAAAGCAAATGTCATGTCTCTGCAGGTGTTCAGTGTTGTATCAAGCTGCGAAACTTTGCAGAGGCGCTCCAGTGGTGTGATGAGGGGCTTAAGGCCCATCCCACAGACAAGAAGCTTCTGGAGCTGAGAGCAGAAGCAGATAAGCACAAGGTGCAATCACTCATTGGTTCAGCTGATTTTAGGGGCTGATGTTTTTTTTTTTTATTCTGAAAGCATAAAGCTTGTTTTGTTTTCTGTGCTTTAGAGAGCAGCAGAAAGAGATGCCAGGAAGGCCAAGGCCAAAGAAAAGAAGTTGCACGGTGTGAAAGAAACTCTTCTGGCTGCTATAACGGTAAGAATTATAAAAAGTGAGGAACAGATTAAGTTGGACTTTCCCTCTAAAGCCCGGCTCACTCTGCAGGATCATCGGGCTGATTTGAGCTCCGATTCTTCCCGACAATCGCAGCGTCGCTCCCGACTCGAGGCTGCTCGGACCCGTTTCTCTGCTCAGATTATCTCGTAGAGTGAGCGGTCCAAAGATCCAATCTTAACGTCCCCGATCTGCCCGGCGATCGTCGGATTTATTTCAAACATGTTTGATATTTAGAATTTAAAATCCGAAGAAGTTGTGTGTGACTACAATATAATCACCAGAGACAAGGGAGGACTGTCGTCATGGCGACCAGCGGCAGGACGCAACCCGGCAATTTTTCTTTTTTTTACTTTTCAGTACAGATCATCAGTGCAGCACTTTTCTGAAACTTGTCTCCATATATCTACGATTGTATCACCTTTTCTATATCCTACAACAACTTCCACTTCCTTCTCTTTCACCAACCGTCGTCCTTTGTTTTTTTAAAATGAAACTTTATTAACAATTGTCAACGCTCCGTCCCGATTTCACTCGTACAGTGTGAGCACGTCGATCTCAAGGTCTGGTCGGGCGTCGTAAACGATTCAGTCGTACAGTGTGAGCTGACATGCCACCCCGACTTTTGAACAATCGGGGAAGAATGGCACAGTGTGAGCCCGACTTAAGACTTCTCTTAATATGGCTGCAGCCTGACAGACAGGTGTCCTCACTCTTTAACTCCGTCATAACTTCAGCACTCTGTCAAATCTGACTCTTAACTTAATATTTCATAATTTCTGTCGTCTTCAGCGTGAATCCATATTATTCTTGGAGCACTTATCAGATATATTTTCCGTGCTTCATGCAGGGTCGTGGCATTAAGCTCCTGCAGCCGGTGAAGCCTCGTCAGCGTGCTTCAGACAGTGAGGACGAGGACGAAGGCTCCTCTGCAGCGATAGCACAGCTCAGTGTGGACGGCCTCAGCTCTCAGGAGGTGATGGGGGCTCAGGTGTTCCTGGATGAGAAGGGCTTCCTGCACTGGCCCGTTCTCTTCCTCTATCCAGAACACCAGCAGAGTGACTTCATCTCTGCCTTCTGTGAGAACAGCTGGTAAACTGCTCGTCTTCTTTTACCTCAATTCATCTTGTTTGTTTGCATTTCTGTGCCTATTGTCACCAACATGTAGTCAGATCTTTTACAGCCAATCAGCCTATTTCAGAAGTTCTCATCTCTCTCTTTCATCTGACAAAATCTTCATGTATGCGTTACTTGTTTTAACAATCACCTTTTTTCTCTCTTGCTCCAGTTTTATGGATCACATCGCGGTCATGTTTGGAGAGGAACTTCCACCTTGGGATGCGGACAGAAAATACCACCCGCAAAACCTTCAGGTTTGTGTGTTCTGCCTTAATTT